ATTAGTTTGTACTTATTTTGTGGTATTTTGTGTATTTTGTATACGCTTTTCCTATGTATATTTTGGTTGTTCAAATCTAATGCAATTGTAAGTTAAAATCTTAAACAATTGTATTTGATTTGAGCAATGAATTGTAATGTTCAATCCTTGTGTAGTCCCTTATTTGCACCTTGTTCCATCATTGTTCCTGAGCTTTAATCAATGCAAATTCAGTGCTTCCGCTTCGTCTAACAGTTCATGGCATCTCTTCTAAACTTTAATCAACTAGTTGTTCTTTAACAGTTCATGTATTACTTTGCTAAAGTGATTCAAAACAAAGCAACACAAATGTAACTTTGTTGGATGCATAACCACCAGTCTCCTTTTCATAATTATAGGGTACCGATGGATTACTAATTTATTTATTGGATAAAATCAGAGTAAATGGCGAATAAGTGGGTTTAATATGTTATACCCATTTATTCATAAATTACTACCTATTTACGAGTATGCTGCACAAAGTGTCCATATTACCATAAAATATCAGTTCTTTATGACAGTCCTCCAACGTATAAGCAAAGTGCCAATAATTAAATTAGTAATTTTTTTTTTATTTATACACAATTAATTTTTTTTTTTTTTGTATTTCCACAAAAAATTAATGAAACTTTTTTATCGAAAAGCACAATAGCCAAAAGGATTGGTCTAAAAGGGAAAGGAATAGCATAATCTCATTATTTAAAATACCAAATCTGTGAATGTGTTTTAACTATTATCCATTGGTATCCTATATTTATAAAGGTAAACCATTGGGTAATTGGATAATTGGCTACATGTTCCTTAACGTGGTCACTTATTCCATGATCTTTTGTTCACATCGATTTGGCTTTGTTTATAGTATTGACCTTGTGGTCCTATATATAGGGCACTCTGCAAAATCACTATGTGAAATGTGGAACTTCATAAGATTCCTTGTGTAGATTACCAACAATTGGTTTATCATATGGTTTCTATGCTTTAAAATTTATAGTCCATCAAAAAATGTTATGGGAGCATACTAATGGAATTTTAATAATTCGAGGCTTAAGTGCATTTGTTTAGAATTTATAGGACCAAATTGTTAGAATGCAAGTACTCTGATATACGAAAAAAAATTCAAAGAAATAGAATAATTGACAACTAGAAAGTCGAAATGTAGGATATCCTGTTACTCGTAAAAGTGATCTTACTCCCATAGGAACATTTCCACGGTGCAATATGGTTCACTAAGCGGTCACTTTCCAATATAGAACAACGACTAGCATCGATTGCGTGTATTTACAAATCAAGATTTTGACCTTGTAATGGATTACTTGGAACCAAAGTGTAATCCGAAAAGAATAAAAATACATGTAAAAAGGAAGAATAAAATTAGAATTTACTCCTAAATAGAAAATCCAAATCCTCTATTTATAGGAACACAAGAGTATAGATACAAGTACCATTCATTATTACAAAGTACATGAATTTAGAAGTTACATGAAAGAACTAGTAAATTCCAAGAGATACATGAATCTAAGAATGAATCTAAAAGGGAATGAATCCGAGAGGTACATGGATCTAAGAATGAATCTAAAAGGGTATGAAAGTATTAATGAAGCTTAGGAAAAATGCACAAATATGTTATAATCAATATGCTTGTTCACATTATACACTTCTATCTAATTTGAATGTCTAACTTCTCTTGCTATTTCTTCCATAAGAATATTAATTCTATTTAAACGAAGACTTTAAACTAGAAATATTCGTTTGTACATTTTATACACCAAAAAATGATGGTCATATGTTGTAAAATCTTTTTTGAGTTCACTGGGCTAATGTAGCAAAGTAAGTTCCTCATTTTCTCTAAAAGCGAAATGTGTTTTCAACTTTCTCTTAATATCTACATTCAAATATCTACAATTGAGTTAATTAAGATACTCGATAATTGCTAGTATGAAACAAAATGAAAGTTAAAGCTTTACTTCAATAAACGAGTTGAAATATATAAAAATCATGTATCAACTATCAAGCTTTATTCTAAGCGCAAAGGGTAAAGAACATATTGATGGATAGAGTACGAGCAAAAATTGCAGTTTTTAGTCCTATGTATGCTTGACCAGTCTTACTATAGCCTAGTATGTTTCACTTTAGATAATATATTCTTCCTTAAGAATTGCATACTTCTCATTTAGATCTTCAATTCTTAATTTTTCTTGACATATTTGATCCCTCTTATTTCTAACATTATACTCTTGAAAGGCATGTTGGTTGTTGGAGGAGTGGACTTGAAGTGCAAATTTCATAAAGATAAGGACCGAATTTAAAATTTTAAAAGGCAAAGGACTGAAGTTAAATTATTTATACCTTAAAGAATCATGTATGGTAAAGATGCAATATGGGGAATTAATAATGAAATTGTTTTGTCATACGAGGAACCAAGACTGGTTCTTCCTACATTTTCTTTAGAAATCACATCATAGTTTTCTGCCTCTAGAGAATTTGAAATGTATCACAATGTGGCTTGTTACATAATGAGAATTTTAGTGTATCAAATGCTCTTGAAAGAATTGTAATATACGAAATAGTTATGTTCGGATTTCTATTTTTTTGGGGTTTTTTTCTTGAAAAATGTATTATAGCAGTTTAATGCATGCATCAAAAAAGTAATTGAAAAATGTATTTGAGATAAAGTGTTTGGATTGTCTTCTATTTCACTTTATTTACACCTTATTTATACACACTGATTTGCTTGCATCATCAACACATTTTTCAATCATCATTTTATCTTACATACATCAAATCGAAAAAATGCTACAGTGTTTTTTTACAAAATTATCTCAAATAATTTACAATCCAAACATAGAGTAAAAAAACTAGCATAAAATAGATTATATAATAATTATTGCCTCCGAAAAAAAAAAGACTAGGTTAGAGTAAAAATGTTGAAGAAGGATGTCATGAATACACTTTTGGTCACATATATAACAAAATACCATTGAAAAGCCTATAACAATTATGTTACATGGTGTTTTTAGACTTCAAATGAAAATTGTTAAGTTTATAACTAAAATTTATAAGAAATTTTTATAAGATCTATTTTGATGAAATTAGCATAGGAGCATAAGCGTTGCACATAGTGGGCATTTGTTTTAGGAATACGTACTAAGATAATTTTTTAAAATTAGTTAAAAAGAATAGAAATTTAACTATTTAAATTTCATATTGCTATCAATTTTCTCCTCCAAAAAAACATATAAATCATTTGTTTAACAAAACCTTATCGATAGTACGTCTTGGTAGCAAAGTATAGAAAATGGTTAGCTATATTGCCAAAATAATTATGCTCTTACCAGAGCAATTTCACTCTAAATAATAGTAATACCCTCACAAACCAAGAGTAACCATATTTTGTATTGGAAAGATCCACGGAATAAAACAAGCGCCAAAATTGAAAACCAATCTAAAGTGGGACTTGGCTCATCTTTAATTGATTCTCTCTCCATTTTCCGCAGTATTCATCTAGATGTATGACACGTATATTCATTTATTAACAATAATTAGGATTAGTCAAATTTAAATTGATCATGTCCCTTCTTAGTAACTGAAGACGTGTGTCATACATCTAAACATGCATTGTACAAAATGAAGAAAGAACTCACTAGAGAGGAGCCAAATCCGTCTAAAGTGAGGTCAACAGATTCTATCATATTTTGTATTGTAGATTCACAATTAGATGATTAATCATTTCATAGTGAGAAGGGCCAATCTGACATGTCTTACAAATTTATTCATTTTTCGTTAGGTAAGACTTGCAGCTTGCGCGTGTCCTAGTTTTTGCAAGTAGAACCACATTGGCGTTACCTGTTACCCTTACTTTCTCATTTGGTTAAAGTTAACTAAGCCTTAGCCAGAATGTGTGATGAAAGTGGGGCATGACTTGAAAGGATTATTAACTGACAGTTAATATCCCTAACCTCTAAAAGACTAATTGAGACATGATTTGCTGTAAAAAATCAAAATCTCAACCTTTGGAAGTTCTGTAAAAAGTTAACATACTCATTTATGGTCTTGATATACTAAGCACAAAGTGTTATCAAGTAGTAGTAAAGAGAATTTGTCCATTGATTCGCAATAAATAGGTGGCGAATTTACCCTAAAGAGAAGCAAAAGTAGATTACGAGTTTAAGTCCATTCTCATCAAATCATCACAAGTATTCAGAACAAATCGATTAGAAACTAGATAAATGCATACGTGAAACAGTTGCTAAAATGTGGGCCTTACAAGATCAATATAATGTGGGTTGAGGTGAGAGAGAGTCCAAAATGTCTCATAAACATTTCTATTTTTCAGCTTGAGAGGAGCATATGGGCTTACGCATCGTCCCGAAGAGCCCAGTTTTTTAGAACGCCGTAGAACCCTATTTCCTATTTGTTTTGGTAGTTTCAACGATTAATCGTTTATGTGTTTCCTTTGTTTTAGGCCCGATGTTGGCAAAATGTGATTCCTATTTTATCCAATTAAATTTCATTCATGTATTTAGAAAGAGTGAGATTACTATTTTTGGTTCTTCGCATCACGAAGAATTTAGTTAGCTGCTCTTTTTTTTTTTTTTTTAACTATGAAAATCTCCAAATCTCATTTTTTTTCTTTTGATTATACGTTAATTAGCCCAAAATTCATTGTACACACTTGACATATACTCGTTTTCTCTCCAATTTGGGTATTTTATCCCTAGCTCTATATATCATCTAAAACATATGGTGTGGAATTCAAAAATGGAAAATTAAATATTCATACAAACATATCACCTTTAAAGCTCCTTGGAGCTAATGCCCTTTCGAGCAATTAGCTCAAGCAGCAGAAAAACCAAGTTAAAAACATTCTTTTGCAAAAATTCTCCAATTTAAAGAAGTAAAATATGATCCTGAAAATTTAGCAAATCTCAAAGTTGGATATCCTAAATCCAAACCTAAGATTGAGCAGAAAAGAGATGATCATAGAGGTTTCCAAATTGGGCTATCATATTCTTCCAAGAATCATGAGCTCAAACATAAATTGTTAATCAATTCTATCAAAATGATAACAAAGTTCCTTGACGGCAAATTGACACATGTTTGAAAAGAAATAGCACAAAACCATCATTAAATTCAGCAAAACGAAATTACACAAAATAGGCCAACAACAAAATATCTGAATAATCTCATTGATTGTTTCCACCATATCTTGACAAGAAAAGAGCCATGGATCCTTTCCAACTTTTACCTTCATCTTCCACAAAAGTATCATAGAAAACCAGACCGCACAGATAACCAATTACAATCTGAAGAGGAAAAACCACCGTAGCATGCACTCCCTAATGATATCATTAAGGAAAAAAAAAATAGAGCAATTAATAATTAGTTGTTTGTTCATCAATTTCAATGCGCTTGTGCATGCATTACAGGCAACTACTGAAGTACAAAAAAGCTACCAAACGGTAAATATAAATTACACTTGTTTAAAAATGAAAAGCATGATTATTTCTATGATGGTGATGACAAAAAAAAATAAAAATTACCAGATATTGCACCAGCTGATGCCCTTCAATCTATGATGATGATCTTCAGATTCACATCTCCATAATTATCTTCCTGTGCTTCTTCAATTTTCCATACTAAAGATTTGACGCCATATCCACAATGCGCCACCTGAATTGTTTCAAGAGTTGGTGTACTCCCTAAACAAGCAGGCATCATTTTCAAATTAAAAATTCCGAAGAGTTTTAATCGCTGAAGACACGGGAAGTAATCATAACTGTCAGGGTCTGCCTCTATCCACTTCTCAATCCTTTCGTATTCCAAAGTCAAGACCTTGAGTTTAGGGAATCCTCCTTCCATCAGCTCCCATCTTTGGCCGTCCATTGCCTCCTCTCTTAATTTGAGGACTTCAAGATTGGGTAGTTGTTCAATCAATGACATTTTTCTACAGGGAAGACCCAGACGGTAAAGACACAACTTCTTCAAATTCGTCGGAAAAGAAAGCTCAACATGTTCCCGTGAACCTAAGAAGCCGTAGCCCCCTAAGCCGAGTGACTCTAGGCATTCTAGTCGACTCATGTTGCAGCATACTCTATTTTGTTTCCCACAATTGAAAATTTTAAGTTGGCGAACGTTGGGAATCCTTCTCAACAGGTTCTCTCCCTCTTTATCAAGATAAAGCTCCAGAGTAGACAGTGTGTCTAAGTTAGAGAGGTTTTCAACAACGTTGTCATTGGAAGAGAAAGGAATAACGACGCCATTCTCTACATGTACATGCCTCAACTTCTTCATGTTCCAGATGCTATCTGGCAATGAAACCGTCTCATCAGAATTTAGACTAAAGGTTTCCAAATGTGAGAGCTTGGCTATAGATGGTGGAATGAATTCCATTTCCGAAGCTCTAAGGGCTAAGTACCTCAAACAAAGAAGTGATTCAACTTCAGCTGGAAGCTCCTTCAACATTAGGTTAATGCCCTCTAAATTCAAAACTTTAAGATGTTTGTAGATGCAAAAAAGGAAGGAGATATTAAGCAACTTCAACTTATTATATCCTGGAGTAGCATCAAAGAATAGCAGAGTACTTAAACATGGACAAAATAGCTTTGACTTCATAAAATCTTTGCCACTGGAGCAAATGGACAACCGAGGTAGGTTGGGAGGCTCATTAAAGGTAGAAAGCTCATCATATCCTCGCAGGACCTGAAGGAATTTCTTTTCTTTCGCCTTGCCCTTGCAGAACTCAAATATCAAATCGTGAATGTAACAAGTTTTCACTCCACCAATGGATCTGTTCTTACCTACCATAACTAGGTTTCGGCCAATTAGGTCCATCAGATATTTTTCTGCAACATCCTCTGATTTCTCTCCTTCAATTATTTCCACAAATCCTTCTGCAATCCATAGACACATCAACTTCTTGGCACCAATTTTTTCATCTTCTCGAAATGCAGCAAAATACAGCAAGCATTCCTTCAAGTGGTATGGTAAATGCTCAAAACTGAGCTCCAAGGACTTCTTGCACTGGTCTGCACCAGACACCATGGTCAAAGTAAAACTTTCAGCAAATTCTTCCCAAACACAAATATCATGCTCTATAGTTGCCAGGACTCCAGCTACAACAACAAGTGCAAGTGGCAATCCCCTGCACTTTTTGGCAATCTCCATTCCCAATTCATGCAATGCTTGAGGACATTCTTCTTCTTCTCCAAACACCTTCTTCTGCAGCAATTCGAAACTTTCTTTCTCACTGAGTGGGTGAAGATAGTGAGGTTCTCCACCATATTGAACCTTTGAATCTGAAGCTACATTAGAAAATCGACTCGTAAAGATGATTCTACTTCCATTCTTGTCATTGGGGAATGCAGTTCTCAGCTCATTCCATACCTCAATGTCCCAGACATCATCAAAAACAAGAAGATACCGATTCTTCAATAGCCTTTGACGGAGCTTTTCAAGCAACGCATGTTCATTCAATTTTTTAAGCTCTTCATCCATCCTCGACTGTTTTCCATTAGAGCACAAAATTTGTATTAACAAGCTTTTCATGTTAAATTCTTGAGAAACAGTGCACCAAAGACGAATGTGGAAGTGACAGGTTACTGAAATATTATTGTAAACTTTTTTGGCTAAAGTTGTCTTACCAAGCCCAGCCATTCCCACAATGGGAACAATTTCCACCTGTTCTGATCCCCATATATCCCCATATAAGTCGTTCAATTACTTTTGCTGCCTCATCATCAAGACCAACCATGATTTCACGAGCTATTGGCATTTTACCTTTTGATAGCATGCGGCTGGAAGTCTGGCTAACTTCTGGTGCTCTTAAGCTATGAGAGGAATTAGGAAGACTCTGTATAGTACTTGAGACACTGAGCTGATCCTCAAAATGCTTGATAAGTGGTTCAATTCCTTGTTCTCCCTTATCATCAAGACCAACCATGACTTCATGGTCCATTGGCATTTTACCTTTTGATAGCATGCGGCTGGAAGTCTGGCTAACTTCTGGTGCTCTTAAGCTATGAGAGGAATTAGGAAGACTCTCTATAGTACTTGAGCCACTGATCTGATCCTTAAAATGCTTGATATTGGCCAGCAGATCACAAAAATCAAGAACCTGGGTGGATCCTGAGAAGCTAACTTCTCCTTCTATCACTCTGCTCAGAGTGGGCGAGAATATTATAATGCCTGCCTCACCAAGGAGAGCTCCAATTTTTTCATTTTGTTCATCCATCATCGCATGATGCTCCCTTAAAATGCTTCTCAAAAACCTCAGTTCTGCATAGAGTGTTTGCATTTCATCTTTCATAGAATCCACAAAGCTAGAGCTGCAGCATAACAACTCCCAGAGACGTCCTATCAGAGAATCGTTGAAGTTGTTCAATATCCGCTCATCCATCACTGCTGTATGTAATGATGCTGAGGAGTTTGAAGCTGCAAGTACTTCCTTATAAATCTCGTAGACATGAAAATCAACCGCTCTCATGCTGAGGAGTTTGAAGCTGCAAGTTCTTCTGGAGTAGAACCCAGGATTTTTATTTTCGTCATCATCATCCCAAAAAGAACACATGTAAGAGAGGCGTGCTGCGGTCAAAGCCACCACTTCAAAGTGAGCCAATAGCAAGGCAGGAATATCTGCGGTTCCTCGCATTTTGGCAAAGGGAATGGAGCTTTTCAAGAATGTCAGCTTTGCTTCAAGATCTTGGACTTGAGCACTCAAAGCAGCATAAATGGACGATTTAGTAATTTTCCAATTCAAATCGTCATTTGTCAAATCTGCTAGATTTTGCAGGATGAGGTCTATGAATTCCAACAGTTCATCATCTGTCATACAAGAATTTGATTGAAATGACCTGTTGCTTGCCAAAGTTGCCAAAGCAAAGTAAATTTGGATGATTTCTTGCTTGAATAATATGATCTGTTTCCTAATTTCGCGGAACACTACATATATCTTATCACGGGAAAGAGAGTGAATATCCTCCTCATATTTGTGAAAGGTATCTTCGATACAAGATAGGAAAGATGGAAGACTTACCCTCTTCACAACATTGTCAGATTGCAAGTACAAATCATTGCTTTGGCTCCACTTTCTAGCACACATAAGAAATGTTTGGAGAAATTTCATGTGTTTGATTGCTTCACGAACATCGTAAAGAAGATAAAGGGATATTCCGGAGCTGTTCCGGAGCGACTCTAGATCAAGTAAGACACGATCGATGCTGCAAGTGGAGGCCATCTCCATCTCTTTTGGAGGGATTTTCGTCAGTTTCACTCTCAAATTCTAAGAGAGAAACAAATCTCACTAACTGCAGAGCTAGCAAAGTATTTCTTTCCTGAAAATTGCTTATTTGTTTCTGGTGAGAAGGTGAAGAAGAGTATTGAGACAACCAACCATTCAACTAGGTGGAATTGGCATCAAGGTGGACCCCAGGCAATGATAATCAATTATTCAACTAGGTGGAATTGGAGCTAGGCACCCAAAATCCAAATTTATCTTGAACTAATTACAAATGGAGGAAATTGATAAACAAGATTAGTTTACTCTGTCATCAACATTTTATTAGGGAAATTTGATATTAGGGATCACATAAAAGCCTATGTTTTAAGACAATAACAGCAGTGATTTAAGACTCTTTGATGATTTTATTGTCCAAAGCAAGAGTGGTCCAGACGGAGCAGCCCCCTCTCTATTATACATCTAATTATTGCCTCAATAAAGTAGTGGGTCCGATTTCAAAGAATTATTGGGAATGATTGTATTCCATTCCCACACAATGGCGCCCCTTCTCTTATAGCGCGTCCCTGTTTTAATATGTTTTTTTTTTTTGCTTCAAGCATCCACAGTTTAATATGTTAAACTTTATAATTAGGAAGAACAGAAAACAAAGAGACATCAAAATATAAATGATCCAAGACACGTCACAATATAAATGATCAAAATATAATGAACCTTCAAGCTAGCTCTCTAATTTTCTTCCATTGTTTTCTTTCTTCAGCAAACCACTAAATTTGATCACTTTCTCTTCTAATTATCTCGTTTTAATAATCATGACCATTGATCTTGGAGATTAATAACCATGGCCAACAAAGTAAAAAGTATGAGAAAAAAAAAATTGAGGGCTTCTTCAACCCTTGGTATTGTGGAAGCAAAGAATTGGGGATGTCTGCAATTACTAGTGTCAATTATATCATAAAATACTAGTGGAAAAAGCCGGCGCCATGCACGGGAGTTTAGTACCTATAAGTAAAGATAGTTAATAATTATTATTTAGTATTTTGTAGTATAAGAATTGAAGTATGACAATTTTATTATGTGATATTAAACAGAAAAATCATAAATTACATATTGAGTCAAAATATATAATATGCAATAAAATATAATTATAAAATATGATTAATTACTTTGTGTCTAATCTAATAGAATAAAAGATCTACTTATATCTGCTCATGCATTTTGGGAATGTTAAATTTTGTCGTTTAGTTTGAATTTGATCTTGATATGAGGGCAATCTATCTCATTATCTTATCATATAAGTGAGATTTGAAAAATTAGCATACTTGAAGAAATCATTGCTAGTGAAATTTCGGTTCTTACAAGCCAAATTCTTTGATTTATATTGATTCCAAGAACATATCATCATGAAAGTTTCACATTGACAAATCAATCAATTATGATTTATTATATAATTTAGGACATATAGCAAAGCACCTCCTTCTCGATAGGGGTTACAATCACAAAACATCAGTTTTTTATCTAGTTGCAAAGATATACAATAACTAACACGCTAATCTAGATGAATAATTACCTCAAAAAAAGTACTAAAACATCTTAATCCACTCAATTTAAGAAAACAATTAAAAGTAATGAAGTACATACTTTAGATTTGCAGCCAAATAGTTTTAAGTAGATAGTTAAACATATTGGCAAATCAAATGAAGTGAAAAATTGCCTAAATGGAATCATCAAAAAAGTAGCAAATGATTTGAAAATTACCGTAACTAATAGTTAAAACAACAAAAGAAGTAGATGCAATCTATTAATGAAAAAATTTATGATGACAAACTTATTCTAAACCACAAATAACAATTAACAAATGTGATCTCCTCCCTATCAAGTCTATCTAACATGGGCAATTGAATTAAAACACTAAAAAAAGTATTGCACATACAACTTGCAAGATTACAAATTTCTTACAACCAAAAAAGTAGATTAGCTAAAGAAAACAAACCTATTGAGAAAGATGTTGCAAAATGGGAAAGAGTAGTAGCTAATATAGCAACATCTGAATTTAATATACTACATGATTGTAGTGGAACAAAGTTATAGGTAAATGAAATTAATTTGAATAGATAGGGGTTACTATGGTAACGGCCAAGAAACCAAACTTCTCTACTAATCAGCATTAATTGTGCCTTAACATCTATATATCATAAGTTTGCAAATAACTGTTGAGAAAGGCTTTAAGAAATTAAGAGACTTAGATGTTAATACAATTAAATGATTAAAAGGATTTTTATATAATTCCACTAAAACACAAGCTGAATTCAATTGTACAGAATATTTAATTGGATATCGAATATTGTCACATGTTAAACTTATCCATAGCTTTAAATGTCTGAAAGAACATTTAAGTAATTATAAAAAAAACCAAATCAGTTATAATGATTCATATTCAATACTCAAATTACACTTCAAATACTCTCATATTCCCAAAATAGCCCTATCCTTGCGGTTGAAATCTTTGCCCTACAGTCATTCTTATATAGTATAAGGATATGCATTAAAATAATAAATGTAAAACTCTAAAATAATAAATATAAACAGTAAAATGATAACTTGCAAAATTAATAATGTTACCGGAGTGCATTAATGTTACGTACAACGGTCAAAGAAGATGATTGGATTAAAGAAGTGAAAATTTCTACTAATCAGTAGTAGTACTTCTTTTCACAGAAAAAATGCATTCTTGAAACATTTTCTATTGGGGTCATTTCGATAACCAATGTTGTATTACAAACACATTAATTTTGTACTCTGAAAAAAATTCGAAGGATCTCAGCCTCAAATACTTGTCTACTCTTATGCAGGGATTTTCCTCAATGTCACTCTCAAATATTAGTACAGGTAAAGGAGAAACAAATCTCACCCCAGGGCCAACAAGTCTTTCTTCCATCAAATTTACTCTTCTTTCATTTTATTTTATATTATTATTTTTTTGTAGGGTAGTGAAGAAAAGAAATTAGATACTCAATTGTTTAACAAACAAACAGAGTAAGAAACAAAAGATCAGCAAGGCAAAAGAGAAAATGTTGGAATTATCATAAAGTCATCTTGTGTTTAGTAGATTAAAGATGTTTTCATTGACAAGTTTATTATTTTTGGACTATTTCATACTCATATTGGAGTTGAGAAGGACCACTCTGGTATTTTCCATTAGCAAAGGTCCCTGCACCCACACTGAAAAAGCGTAAAAATTTAACCAATTGCTCAATTCAGACTTGTTTTACCCTAATCTTTATAAATTGATTGTTTCTTTGAAAAATTTAAGCATTTTTACTCCATATAGCCACATCCTATTATTACATACATAAATTCTATGAAATAACAATTTTCATTTTTGTTGCTTTGGAAAAAGTAAAATGACATTAGAGGTTTTAGTTTAATGGATTCTTTCAGTTGA